CAATAACAGAAGAAAAAAAAAGGATCACAGAGTGTTTGGAACAGAAGCAGCAAATCAGCCAACACAGTGAAGCCCTGGATCACTGACCCCAGGACGAGAGGCTGAGAGCAGTGACCACTGTGGGCTTGTCGAGACCTAAGCTTTGGGCAGAGCTGTGGCAGGGTTTTCCTCTCTGTTGGGTGACAAAGGCCTCCCTGTACTTGTACTGATTGTTTTTGATTGTGAAAATTTCTAAGGTGACTCCAAGTCTCCAAACAATAATAACGAGGCAGGGAGACAGGTGAGGGAGGTGTGGTCACGGAAAGGTGAGAGTTCCCAAGGCAATTTTCATGTTCAGATGGGGAACAGTGACATGGAATATCTGTAGTTGGTTGGAAATTTTCTTTTCTTTCTTTTTTGAGATGGAGTCTCGAGTGCAGTGGTGCAATCTTGGCTCACTGCAACCTCTGCCTCCTGGGTTCAAATGATTCTACTGTCTCAGCCTACGGAGTAGCTGGTATTGATTATAGACACACGCCACCATGCCCGGCTAATTTTGTATTTTTAGTTTCACCATATTGGCCAGGTTGGTCTTGAACTCCTGACCTCAGGTGACCCACCCATCTGGGCCTCGAAAAGTACTGGGATTACAGGCATGAGCCACCACACTCAGGTGGAAAATTTCAAATTAAGTGTCTTAAAAAGTTAGAAATCAACTGAGCACAGTAGTTCACACCTGTCATCCCAGCACTTTGGGAGGCCGAGGTAGGCAGATCATGAGGTCAGGAGTTTGAGACCAGCCTGGCCAATATGGTGAAACCCTGTCTCTACTAAAAATAGAAAAATTAGCCAGGCATGGTGGTGCGTGCCTGTAGTCCCAGCTACTTGGGAGCCTGAGGCAGAATTGCTTGAACCTGGGAGGCAGAGGATTGCAGTGAACCAGGATTGCACCACTGCACTCCAGCCTGGGCAACACATCAAGACTCTGTCTCAAAAAAAAAAATCACAAAAACAATATAAATACTATTTACAGCTTCCACATATCAAGGTGAAAACAGTGGAATATTGACATTTTTATCAATATAGCAGAAGAAAAGAAAAATGTAAATAAATAAGATGAAAAATCTGAGAATAAAAAAATAAGACGATAGAAATGAATCTAAATTTATACACCATCATAAAAACAAGAAATTATGAAAAATATGACCAAGTAGGGTCTAATTCACAAATGCATAGATGGGCCAATGCCAAATAATTTATCAATGTACTAACACATTCACAGATTAGAAAGGAAAAATCACATGATCATCTCAGCAGAGGTAGAAATAGTGTTTGATAAAAATCACCTTTTACTCATTTAAAAAAACTCTTTGAAAAAACCAAAACCTCTTATTAACAGAGAATAGAAAGAAATTTCCTTACCCTGACAAAGGTATCTACCCAATATCATGCTTCCTTGTGAAACTTCTGGGAGAATTTTCCTTCTTGAGAGTAAAAGATGGGGGCGCTTGTCATCACTCCAGCTACTCAACATTACATCCAGGGTTGAGCAGAGAAAACTAAATGAGGTGTACAAGATTTGGAAAGAAAAAGGCAAAATGTTGTAGTTGATCTTATCGTTTACACAGAAATCAGAAAGGTTTGGAAATCCTGAGGGGAGATTAAGGAGTTAAACCAGGTTTCTACAAGATCAGGACGTGGAGTTCTCTAAAGCAGGCCTAGGAGAAGTCATCCTAAACTGAAATGGCCACAGTCACAGCAGGCCCATGGCTGCCTGTCCTACAAGCACTCCTCTAGCTCTGAAACAAAACACAGGGGCAGTGCATGCTCTCCTCCTATGGAACATCCAGAAGCACTGGCTGGGAACAACATATGTTGAGGTCCTGTGGAGCTGAGCTGGGTGAAAAAGAGACTCCCAGGGAGCTGAAGGAGGAGGTGCTGCAGGCCTGCCAGTCCACAGAGCTCCCAGCAGACCCAAGAGTCACCTGCGTCAGGACCTCGAAGCCTCCTGTTAGGAGCCACAAGGTGGGTGGCGCCTGCAAGGCTGTGTCTGCACTCTGACCATCCAGACCTCAGTCCCCCTCGAGGGCTGCCCCTCAGAGCAGGCCACAGCAGGTGGACACAGAACTAGAAAGTTGCAGCCACAAGCCCAGGACATCTCTCCCCGAGGTGCAAAGAGGCCTGGAGCCAAATCTTCATGCTCAGAAGGAACCACCCTACTGATATCTTGACTTTAGACTTCTGGCCTGTAGAGCAAGGGAAGACATTTCTGTGGTCTGAGCCACCTAATTTGTGGTAATTTGTTCTCGAAGTGCTAGGAAACCTGTGCACCCAGGGGCCCTGCTTGGTTGTGTAAAATAAGGAGGCGTCTGGCTGTGCCTCTGTGTCTATTTTGGTAAACTGTGTTTTTCAAGGGATTCATGCTTTCATCTAAGTTTTAAGGTGTAAAGTTGTTAATGTCCTCTCATTGCACATCTGTGCAATCCACAGTGATACTCTATTTTATTCTTACGTTAGTAATTTGTTGTTTTCTCTAATTTTTCTTGCTAGAAAATTATTGAGTTTGTTAATCTTGTCAAAGAACCAACATTTGGCTTTGTTGATGTTTTATCTATAGTGTTTCTGTTTTATATCTATTCTTCATTATTTCATCTTTCTACTCTCTTTAAGCTTAATTTGTTCTATGTTCTTCTTTACTAACATAGGCATTTAAAACTACATATTCTCTGGCTGGGTGCGGTGGCTCACACCTGTAAATCCCAGCACTTTGGGAGGTTGAGGTGGGCAGATCACTTGAGGCCAGGAGTTCATGATCAGCCTGGCCTACACAGTGAGACCCCATCTCCACTAAAAATACAAAAATTAGCCTGGCATGGTGGTGGGCACCTGTAATCCCAGCTACTCGGGAGGCTGAGGCAAGAGAATTGCTTGAACTGGGGAGGTGGAGGCTATAGTGAGCAGAGATCACTCCATTGCCCTCCAGCCTGGATGACAGAGCAAGACTCCATCTCAAAAATAAATAAATAAATAGCAAGCTACACATTCTCTCTAGGCACTGTGTTAGCCACAGTCAACAAAAGCTGTATTTTAATCATTGTTTAGGTCAAAATATTTTAAATTTTCCATGTTTTTTCTTTGATTCATGGATTATATAGAAGAGCACTGCTGGATTTCCAAGCATTTGGTAGTTTGAGTTATTTTTAAATTGATTTCTAATTTTATTCTCTTGTGGCCAGAGAGTATATTATAAATGATGTTAATTCTTTGAAATGTGAATTCTTACGCAACAACAAAGAACTGTCCAAATGTGTAATTTCACTCACCCTTCTACACCTGGTGCTCTTATTGTCATGGATACTAGTCTATGTGTGTTATCACCACACGTCAGTGTGCTGTTCCTGCACACAGTCTTCATCTTTTCTATTTACAAACATAATTACCTTTCTGGTGCACTTCATTTTCCCATGCACTTCCGAATTTCTCTCTGGGGTCATTTTCTCTCAGCAGAAGGAAAGCTTGGAGAGCTCTTTTAGTATTTTTTGTGCTGCAACAAATGTTACTGCTTTGTCTGAAAATATCTTTATTTTACTATACATAAATTGTTGGTTAAAACTCCTTTCTTTTGGTGTTTTCAAGATGTCATTCTCTTCTGGTTTCCATGGTTTCTTTTTCTTTTTTTTTTTTTTTTTGAGATGGAGTCTTGCTTTGTCACTCAGGTTGGAGTACAGTGGCGTGATCTCAGCTCACTGCAACCTCTGTCTCTTAGGTTCAAGTGATCCTCCTGTCTCAGCCTCCCAAGTAGCTGGAATCACAGGTACCTGCCACCATGCCTGGATAATTTTTGTATTTTTATTAGAGACAGAATTTCACCAGGTTGGTCAGGCTGGTCTTGAACTCCTGACCTCAGATGATCTGCCCGCCTCAGCCTCCCATAGTGCTGGGATCATAGGCGTGTGCCACTGCGCCCAGCAGGGTTTCCATGGTTTTCTGAGAAGAATCTAGATATCTTTCCTATTGTTGTTCCCTGAATGTGTTATCTTTTTTTTTTTTTATCTCAGTAATTTTTTCAGTTTCTGTTTACCTTTGGTTTCTGGAATGCTTTACTATAATGTGCTTTAGCTGTTTGCTTTTAATTTTTTCCTGTTTGTGATTTACTAAGATTCTAAAGTCTGTAAGTTGACACTGCTCATCAGTTTTGAAAATTTCTCAGCCACTACCTTTTCACATATTGCTCCTGCCCCATTTTCCTCTGTCGTTCTGGGTACTCCAGTGACACATAGATCAGATCATTTGATGGTGTGGTTCCACATGCTTTTCTGTTTTTTCATTCTTTTCTCTTTCTGTGTCTAGATAATTTCTATTGACCGATTTTCAAGTTAACTGATTTTTTATTTTGCTGTGATTTATTTTCCTTTCTTTCCTTTTTTTTTTTTTTTTTTTTTTCCCCGAGACAGAGTCTTGCTCTGTCGCCAGGCTGTAATGCAGTGGCTCAATCTTGGCTCACTGCAACCTCCGCCTCCTGGGTTAAGTGATTCTCCTGCCTCAGCCTCCTGAGTAGCTGGGACTACAGGCATGCACCACCACGCCCAGCTAATTTTTGTATTTTTAGTAGCGGCGGGGTTTCACCATGTTGACCAGGATGGTCTCGATCTCTTGCCCTTGTGATCTGTCTACCTCAGCCTCCCAATGTGCTGGGATTACAGGAGTGTGTCATCACACCCGGCCTTTTGCCTTGATTTCTGAATTTTCGATACTGCACTTTTAAAGTTGTAAAATGTCCATTGACCCTTGTGAGAAACACATTTATCCGTCCAAATCCAATGAATGGACTCAGAGACCTGGAGAATAGAGAAAGTGAGACTTTTAATGACGGTCTTGCAAGATCAGGCATCTGATGGGCAGGAACATCCAGCACAGTTTCAGCAAGCAATTTATCCCGTGGTACGCAGGCCCCTCCACCTGTTCCACACAGGCTGAATACTATGGGGGCGGGGGGGGGGGGGGTCACACTCTTCCTGGACGGCGCCTATTGGTTGTTGAGCAAGGGCTTTTTCTTTAGCGTTGTCTTGCTGCATTTTGTTGCAGTCCACAGTGCATGGCAGTCCCAGTCAGCTCAGGGGCTCTTCAAGTATTTGATTTATGACCTAAGTAGCTGAGCAGGCTAGTAAGAACAGAAAAAACAAGCTACTTTGTAGGCTAGTACACTTTCATCTTAGACTACTTTGATTGGGTGAGGATTTTTCTCAGCTCACGGAGTGTGAACTGTCTTATTGTGTGACCCTCCACTCTGTCCATCGGAGACTCTGAGACCAAAGGGGGCTTTCCCTGCCGTCTCCAGCCCAGCCTCGTCTCCCCAGCACATGGTAAACGTTCCATGGAGGGGACTGGTGGGCATTTGGGGCTCCCCCAGATCCAGCTCATTGCAGAACCTCACGGCCATTCACACTTGGCTGCCTCCTCTCCCCCAACTGAACCCCTTCAGCTTCAGGGGCCCGGTTTATGGCCTCGGGCTGCAGATGAGACTGGGCGTAGTGGAGCGGGCGAGGCCTGCTCCTCGCTGGAGGCCCCTTAGACCCCCTGCGTTCACAGCTCTCCAGCATCCACTAGTCTACATTTTATTAATGTTCTGTGTCTTTTTCTTTCAGCGGCTCAGCATGAATGAGGCCCACATCCTACTTGCTAGCAGCAAGTGAAACCGAGTGGGGGCCTGGGGGTCAGCACCCAGCTCAGGAACTTGAGGGCAAGGCCGTGGGGTCCTTCTTCCCACCCCGCAGGACCCTGCAGTCTCCAGCGTCACTTCCGCGGATGTGGCCACCAGAGTCCCTGCCTGAGCCTGGAGAGTGTGCATGGGCTTCTAAGAGCATGAGGGAGACCTGAAGATGGGGGCGAAGATCCTCGAGGCCCCCAAGGAGCTCGTCCCGAACCCTTCTGGGTGGGTGACTCCATCCCTCCCCTACCTCTTTTCTAGGATCCTGTCGGGGGTTTAGGGGCGCTCCCGCCCCCAACCTGCGCACAGGCGGGTCCAGCGCTTGGTGGACGCAGAGAATCCCCGGCTCCGTGCCTTTAAAACACGGGCGTGGGGGCCGCAGGGGCGAAGGCTGGAGGCTGAGAACCGGAGAGGGGCTGCGGGGTCCGCCTCAGGGCAGCGGGGCTGGAGGTAGCGTCGCTCTGCAGACGCCAGACCCGCCCGGAACCCTCTGAGGGCGGCGCCCGCCGACCCCCCTGCGGCCCCGCGCGGGCAGCGCCGCCTCCCAGGGCCCCCAGCGCCGTCCTCCTTGAGCGTCCGCTGCCCTCTGGGGCCGCTGTGGCCCGGGGTTATTTTAATACCGGACGCTGGCGCGGGGCCGCGGCACATTCCCGGTTGGCGGCGGGCAGGTGGCGGCGGCGCGCAGGTGGCGGCGGCGCAGGGACCCTGCGCGGGGGGCGGCTTTGGTGGCGGGACCGGTGGACGGGCACCCCCGCCCCATGCGCTCTAGGAGCCGAGGCCGCGGCTGAGTCCCTGGCGCCCCTTCTGCTCCCCGATAGGGGAGCGCGCTTCGGAAAGTTCCCCGCGGCTCCTTTGCGAGAGGAGTTTGGAGCGGGGCTCAGCGGGCAGGTCTGGAGGCTCCGTGACCGGAGGCAGGTGGGTCCCCCGCGGGGAATGCGGGACGGAGGAGCGCCAGTGAAGCCTGTGCCCTTCGGGGCCCTCCGCAGGGCTGGCCGAGGGCTTCGGGGCCTGACCCCACCCTGGGGGCTGGTAGCCGGGTCCAGCGAGGCGGTGGAACTTTCGGCTTCTCGCCTTCCCTCCTGGCGACCCTGAAGCCCGGCATGGCGGTTACTACCCCCTGCCCATGACTCGGGCTCCCACGTGTCTGGGGAGCCCAGTGGTTCCTCGGCTTCTGCGCCGTCCCATGGGTGAGGGCTCTGGAAATGCCCTGGGTGGAGGCAGCAACAGGGTGAGGGTCCTCTGGACAGATGGAGCTGGGAGCTGTTGGGCTTGGTGGGAAAGGGCGGGCAGGGCACACTTCCAGGCCACCAGAAGGCCCCCAGCGCCCCGACTCATTGATGCCGCCCCATCCCAGCCAAGACTGCTCCCTGCGCGGCCATGAGTGTTCTGCCTAAATTCAACGTGGCTCATGGGATCAGGCAGGCTCCTGTGTCTGCTGCTTCTGCTCAGCACCGCCCTGTGAGTTTCATCTGGGCTGTTGACCCCAGCGGTGATTCCTTCTTCACTGGCTTGATGTCACAATTTTTTTGCCCCCTCTACTGGGGGCATTCGAGCTGTTTCCAGCTTCTTGGGAGTAAAGCTGCCCCAAACTTTGCACGCTTGTCTTTTTTTGGACATTGGCAGTCCTTTGTGTAGGGTACAAACCTAACAGTGGAATTGCCGGGTGAGAAGGTATAGACTCAGTCAACTCTGCACATATGTCAGCAGCTTTCCAAAGCCGGGGCACAGTCCACTTCCCAGCAACAGGGAACAGCGAGGCCAGCTCCTCTGCAGCCCCCACGCCTGCTGACAAGGATGTCTGCCTTTTCACAGGTTCATCCTTGTCAGCACTCAGGGGCTCCTGTGGCCGTGGTTGGCATTTCCCTGCTTGTTGGCCACGTCAGTGTCCTTTTATGCAGAGTCCCTGGGCAGGGTTTTGGTCTCTTTTTTCCAAATGGGCTGTTTGTCTTTTCCTTACTAATTTGCAGTTCTTCTCTATATTTTTGTTGCTAGCTCTTGGTCTGATATATGGTTCACCCTCCACCCCTTTTTTTAAAGATGAAGTCTCACTTTGTCTCCCAGGCTGGAGTGCAGTGGCACAATCTTGATCTTGGCTCACCACAGCCTCCGTCTCCCAGGTTCAAACAATTCTCCTGCCCCAGGCTTCTAAGTAGCTGGGATTACAGGCATGCACTACCATGTCTAGCTAATTTTTGTATTTTTAGTAAAGACAGAGGGGTTTCGGGATGTTGGCCAGGCTGGTCTCGAATTCCCGACCTCAGGTGATCCACTCGCCTTGGTCTCCCAAAGTGCTGGAATTATAGGTGTGAGCCACCATGCCCGGCCTCATATGTTTTCTGACGACCGCCTAGCCTGTGGCTTATAATTTGGCTTTCTTGGTAAAGTTACCAATTTTAATGAAACCCATTTGCTCAGTCATTTATTGCAAGTATTTTTTGTCCATTTTTAAAGAAATCTTTTCCTACCCAGGGTAATGCCAGTATTCCCGTTTTCTTCCAGAACTTTGACTGAATGATTGATTTAACCTTTCACACTTAGGCCTGCAATCCATCTTGAATTCATTTCCCTGTATGAGACATGGAGATGGCAGAGCCCTTCCATTCCTTACCTTACATGTTTTTCTATTTGAACTTTTAGAGTCAGCAGCTACAATCTGAAGAAAACATTTGTTAAAATGTACACGTGAAATAAGAGAAAGGACACAGGGGTAAGTGTTCCCCGCCTGTGCACAGACAAGAAAGTGAGGTCTGAGGGGTGCAGTGGGTAGGCAGAGCAGAGCCCAGGTGTTGCCCTCCTGTGTTCTGGTTTTCAGAAAGCCCAGTAGATCCCAGAGGCCATGGAACCTATAGTGAGGTGGGGGAGGGGGTCCTGCTGGGGCATGCATGGGAGTGGGGGTGGGGTCAACTTGTCTGGTGAGTCTTGAGTCCTACCCCAGAGCTGGTGGCTTTGAGTCCTCAGCAGTCGGAGAGCACCGGGGAGCACCTTCCCTCTGCAGCCCATGTGACTCTGTGGGAACAGGGCTGTCACAGTGGCCTCGTGGGAGTGGAAGTGGGTGACTGACTTGCATCTTTAACAGGCCTCTTTCCCCACAGGCCAAGCTGGTTGCCCACAGGTGCCCCCACCCTGTCTCAAGGAGTGGACACCCAGTCCTGAGCCCATCCTAAGGGGTCAGAGATGGCCCTGACCCCCCAGTCCCCGAGCAGTTTCCCTGGGCTGGCTGACACTGGCAGCTCTGTGCCTGAGCCGCCTGGTGGCTTCAATGCAACCCTCAACAGCTCCTGGGCCAGCCCCACGGAGCCCAGCTCCCTGGAGGACCTGGTGGCCACGAGCACCATTGGGGCGCTATTATCAGCCATAGGTGTGGTGGGCGTGGTGGGCAATGCCTACACGTTGGTGGTCACCTGCCGCTCCCTGCACGCTGTGGCCTCCATGTACATCTACGTGGTCAACCTGGCACTAGCCGACCTGCTCTATCTGCTCAGTATCCCCTTCATCGTGGCCACCTACGTCACCAAGGAGTGGCACTTTGGGGACGTGGGCTGCCGTGTGCTCTTCAGCCTGGACTTCCTTACCATGCACGCCAGCATCTTCACGCTGACCGTCATGAGCAGCGAGCGCTACGCCGCGGTGCTGCGGCCGCTGGACACAGTGCAGCGCTCCAAGGGCTATCGCAAGCTACTGGCGCTGGGCACCTGGCTGCTGGCGCTGCTGCTGACGCTGCCCGTGACGCTGGCCATGAGGCTGGTGCGCCGGGGCCCCAAGAGCCTGTGCCTGCCGGCCTGGGGCCCACGTGCCCACCGTGCCTACCTGACGCTGCTCTTCGCCACCAGCATCGCGGGGCCGGGGCTGCTCATCGGGCTGCTCTACGCGCGCCTGGCCCGCGCCTACCGACGCTCGCAGCGTGCCTCCTTCAAGCGGGCCCGGCGGCCGGGAGCGCGCGCGCTGCGGCTGGTGCTGAGCATCGTGCTGCTCTTCTGGGCCTGCTTCCTGCCCTTCTGGCTGTGGCAGCTGCTCGCCCAGTACCGCGAGGCCCCGCTGGCGCCGCGGACTGCGCGCATCGTCAACTACCTGACCACCTGCCTCACCTACGGCAACAGCTGCGCCAACCCCTTCCTCTACACACTGCTCACCAGGAACTACCGCGACCACCTGCGCGGCCGCCCGCGGGGCCCGGGGAGCGGGGGAGGCCGGGGGCCGGTTCCCTTCCTGCAGCCCCGAGCCCGCCTCCAGCGCGGTTCGGGCCGTTCCCTGTCCTCCTGCAGCCCGCAGCCCACCGAGAGCCTCGTGCTGGGCCCAGTGGCCCCAGCCAGGTCTGCACCCAAGGGTCCCAGGGCTTCTACATGAGCACCAGGAGGGGCGGCTGGAGTCCAGGCGGGTACGCGCCCCAAAGCCGGGGGCACTCCCAAGAGTCTCCCACTCCCAATTCAGGCTCCGCCCCACTGCCTCAGTCCCCCTGCAGAAATATCCCGCTGGCTTCTGCTCAGCACCCTCCCCTTAATGCCCGGAAGCACCCACCACCTCCCTGGGAATCTCCTGGAGGCTCCACCCAGTCCCGGCTTCTGGAGTTCATGGCTTCCTCACGGAGGGCAGCAGGCGCCAGTGCCAGTTATGTGGAGACCGTGGCTGCTGCCGGCCCCTACTCTCCTCTCAGCCAGTGGCCCTGCAGCTCCTGTCCCTGCCTGTGCGGCTCCATCCCTTGTGGCTTTGGCACGGGAACAATAAACCCTGACCTGGCATCCATGCCCTGCCTCAACGCAGGGATGCCACGTCTGAGGAGTGGGAGAATCTGCCGGCAGGATCTCTCGGACGACCTGCAGCTCATGGAGAAGCCTGCGGGTTTGGCTGGGGTGCAGGTGCACCTGCCTTTGAGGCCTGTGCAGGCAGCTGGTCTGGCACCTGATGTGAAGGGGGAAGGTGGCCAGGAGGGAGGCTCTGGCAGCATAGGCTGAAGGGTGGAGCAGGAAGGCACTGCTCAGAAAAGGCCTGAGGCTTCAGGTGCAAAAAGCAAGTGTCCAGCCAAGGCCGTTGGCCGGACCTGCAGGCCCCCAGCCTCCCACCCACATTGGGCTCAGGTCTTATCCGGAATGGAATCCAGACCCCCCCCCCTCCACAGCACCCTTGGCAGTCTCTGCCCCACTCACCCCTCACTGCCTCCTGGACAGACTCTTGCCCCTGCTCCCAGCTTGGCCAACCATCCTCTGTCTGGCAGCTGCTCCTCTCCAGCCCCCAACCAAGCCCTGGACCCTGCACAGCCTCTCCCAGCCTGGCCTCCCCTCCCCACCCCATGGCCATGCCCAGGCTCCCAGCCCCTTGGGGCTCCATCTGAACACTAGGGTGGGGTCATGCCCGCTTAGTCCCTCCAGTGCCCACCCCTCCGTGGGGTAAGCATAGCTCACAGGCTTTGGGAAGGAGTGTGCAGCTGCTGTCCCCAGGGCCTCCTGGAAGAGGTACTATGCCTACAGGTCTCCCCTGGAGTTAAGAGAGTGCTCTGGAACTAGACGCTGGTGACTGGGCAATGCTGTGATGAACCAGTGCCACAGAACTGTGCACTGAATGTGGTTAAAATGTGGCGACTTCTGCCATGAGTGTTTTACCTTAAAAACAAAAAGATCCCACTCCCAACCTTGCTCCTCTGTGAAAATCAAAATAGAGATTGATGTATGTCCCACTCCTGAATACATGTAAAATTTGTGCTAAAGTAGCTTCTTTGAAAATGGTTTATAACCTGTAGATTGTAATTATTTGGGAGATGGCTTACATGTAAAATCCCATCTATCTGTGCTAAAGTATCTTCTATGAAAATGGTTTATAACCTGTAGATTGTAATTATCCGGGAGATGGCTTACATGTAAAATCCCATCTTTGGGTTGTGTGATTTTTGCTTTCTCCGAATAAATCTGATTATTAAAGTTCAGGAAAAAAAAAAAAAAAAACAGCAAGTTGCTGTTAAAATCACTCCAGGAGCAGGCAGCTCTGTGGACGGTGGGGCAGGGCTGGGGAAGCCTCTTCCAGAGGCTCCCAGGAGCCACCCCAGCCTCACGTCCTCACAGCCTCTCTGATGCAGAAGGAGAGCTTCAGGGATTGGAAGTGCTTTCTCTTTCACAACCAAAGCCTGATTCCTAAAGCTGCTGTCTTTGTAGAGAAGCAAAATCAAAAACATCAGACAGCCAGAGCTGGTTCCTGGCTTCGAAGTTCCAAGGGGCACGGTCCTTGCCTGACAGACAGACTCGGCTGCAGCCTGGACAGCGGGGCAGCAGGACATGGGGAGACCCCACGCTTCTCTGGAAGGCCCCCCATGTCTCCAGAGCCAAGAAGCTCCAACTCAGGAGGGGCCCTGCAGCCCCCACACTCCAAAGACCACCCCAGTGCCACCCTCCACCCTTCCATCTGGGTTTGGAGGAGAGGGCGGATGGCCCCCACGATGTGGGGCACCATTGCTGGAGTTGACCAGGCATGTGTCTACAACCACATGTATCCTCCACCATGGATGTCAGCACAGGGTGATGCAGACAGAGTTCCCCTGCAGAAAAGGATTGCATGTGCACACATGTGCATGTGAGTGTGGGCTGAGGGAAACTGCTGGATAAAAGAGAAAACAAAACAAGGGGCGAATGACTCAGGGACAGGAGAGGAATTTAAATGAAACAAAGTCACGGACTCTGAGAAACCAGAGCGGTGAGGCCTTCAGGAAGCCAGGAAAAGCCACCCTAAAACAAGGAGCAGGCTGAGGCCGGGAAGGGAGACCTGGAGACCTGGCCGCTAAAACAAAGCCCTCCCTAGAAGGCTGGCAGATGGAACTGCAGTCCCTCCGGGAGGAGCACCTGGTTCCAGGAGGGAGTCCCCCAGCCCTGACCCCCACTCTCCCTTGCAACGCCTCTTATTAGAGAAGTGAGAAAGACTCAGAGGCGGGCACACACAGCACAGTGTGCCCCAGAGCACAGCGGGACATTCTCTTCGGAGCCCACTTCTCCTGCCTGGGTGTGAATGAGGCAGCGGTGGGTGCCCCTGTACAGCCCCCAGACCTCCACCCCCTGTTCATCAACACGTCATCAAGTCACCATGTGCCATGCCCACGCATGACCCCTGCCGGCTAGCACCCAGCATCACAACTGCCTTCTATCCTGGGGGCCTCCATAAGCAATGACGTCAGTGACAAGTAGTTCTGTAAGCAACAGCACTGGCCCCCTCGGAACATCCATGCTCCCACACATCACTGCAGACTCACACCTACACCCACTCACACACCACTGCAGATTCACACCTACACCCACTCACACACCACTGCAGACTCACACCTACACCCACTCACTCACACCACTGCAGATTCACACCCACACCCATACACACCGCTGCAGATTCACACCTACACCCGCTCACACTCATACCACTGCAGATTCACACCTACACCTGCTCACACACCACTACAGACTCACACCCACTCACATACTACTGCAGATTCACACCTATACCTACCTGCTCACACACTGCTGCAGATTCACACCCACTCACACCACTGCAGACTCGCACCCACACCCACTCACACTCACACCACTGCACTCACACCCACTTACACACACACCACTGCAGACTCACACCCACTCATACTATTGCAGACTCACCGGCTCAGGCATGGACACCACCACGTGGACACGCCTGTGGCTCAGCCGGCCTCCCTGTGCCCACCCCCTGCCCCACAGCCCAGCACAGGGCAGCGGAGAGGCCGTCAGGGCCTGCGGGTGGTCTGTGGGGTCTTTACTCAGGAGCCCCAGTCCTAAGCTCCCGCGCACCTCACCTGGTCTGCTGACCGCCCTCCTGGCCCCGGCCGCCCTCCCCGCCCAGAGGCCAGGCTGGACCCTTGGGGGGAACCCGCCAGGCCCTCGGACACGCTGTGGCCCCGCAAGGCTATGGGGCTGCCGAGGGTCCTTTGGGTCCAGCCTGGCTGCGACAGCGTGAAAGAAAGTCCGAGGGGCAGCCCCGGCGAGAGGGACCCCGGGGTGCGGGCAGGGGCGGGCAGCGGCGGGCAGCAGCGAGCGCGCGGGGACAGGACCTGACGGCGACCGTGGCTTCAGCGCGTGGGGGCTGCGGTTCCGCGGTGACAGCGTTACAGAGGCGCAGCCGCCCCGCCACCCAGGCGGAGCCACCGTGGAAAGCCCATCAGCGGCTTGGAAGAGCCGCCGGCCTCGCCCAAGGGGCTGGCGCGGCGGGGGTGAGGCTGGAACCCCAAACCCACAGGGAGGCCCTGGCGGCAGGCCGCGTTTGCTCCTGAGGCTTCGCTGGCAGGACCAGGCCCCGCCCCACCCCGGAGCCACCTCTGTCACCCGGAGGTGCGCGGGGCCGAGGTTCGCCTGGTGCGCGCGGGACAGCCGGTCCCGGCCAAGCCTCCATCGCACGGGGTTCCGCCGGGCCTGGCAACCGCCTGCGCTCCCCGCGTTCCCGCTTCTGCGCATTTCACGGGCGTCTCGGCTCTGCCGGGAGCCTCTGGCCTCGGGCTGCAGGGGTGAGGCCCGTCCCGACCCGGGGACTCAGGGCAACGGTTGTTTTCCTTTCCCGCTCCTGGTGCTGCGAGGAATTTGGGGGTTCCTCACGCATTTGAAGAGCAGCTGCGGTGTGAAGGAGACGACGCAGGGGGCGGTCCCAGGACACGGGCGGGGCACCCCGTGAGGCGGAATGCGGGGAGCTGGGCCTGGACCCAGAGCCCAGGGGGCCACGGTGGAAGCAGCTCGGCTCCGACCTCCACACTAGTCAGCTCTGGGGCAGCCTCAAGCACCTCTGGGTGCCTGTGCCTGATCTGGGGCCACAAGCCGAGGGAGAGAACTGGAAAGACGTCCTGCAACTCATCTAGAAAAACGATTAAGGCAACAGAAAAGCAAAGGGACGAAGGCCCAGCCTCACAGCCGGGTGGGCGCACTCAGGAATGAGACCGAAACCAGAGGAGTCGGGCACCCGGAGACCAGGCTCAGTCCCGGAGAGAGGTCACTGAAGACAGCACCATAAAACCCAGATGGAATTTTATATGTAAGTGCCAGCTGTAAAATCACAACGAGTGAAGGGGAAATAGCAGTGAATATATTCTGAAATGAGAAGCAGGGGCCGGGCATCGGGGCTCACTCCTGCTTCTGTAATCCCAGTGCTTTGGGAGCCTGAGGTGGGTGGATCACCTGAGGTCAGGCGTTCCAGACCAGCCTGGCCAACATGGTGAAACCCCGTCTCTACCAAAAATACACAAATTAGCCAGGTGTGGTGGCCGGCGCCTGTAATCCCAGCTACTCCGGAGGCTGAGGCAGGAGAATCGCATGAACCCAGGAGGCGGAAATTGCAGTGAGGACAGATCACGCCTGGGCGTACACTCCAGCCTGGGCGACAGAGCCAGACTCCATCTCAAAACAGAAAAATAAAAGCGAAACAGAAAGTTTATTGAAAGTATGACCTGGCACCTAGAACCCTCAGGGACAGAGTGAGAAATGTGATTTCAGGAGTCAGAATTCCGAGGCAGAAAGGTCGTGGTTTCACACCAAAGCTGAAACCACGCCCTACAGAGCGCCCTGCTCTGCTGTGACTCTCCCCAGCAATTTCACTTCTAGGATTTTATCTGAAATTTAAAAATCAGACGTGGATCAAGATGTATGCACAAAGGTGCTCACTTGAGCATGACGTTATAAACCAAAGGCACCATGGAATCTTCCGCAGTTGCTAAACAGATAATGGTGTGAGCAGTGGAGGATTTTGTGTGTCTTCAAAGAACAGCAAAGCTCAGTTCTGAAGTGTCCTTTATGGGACAGATCCAAGGGGTGACGGCCAATGAGGGAAACTGTAAAGCGAAACCCAAACAAGAACATGTGTGTGGCAGTGTGGTGAGAGTGGTGTTTCGCGTGAGGCTATGTGTGACTGTGACTCTGTCATGTGTGCACACATGGGTGTGTAGGCGTGTGTGGACGCATGTGTGTGCGTGTATGCATCAAAGCTTGACAAGGACACTTTAAAACAGCAACAATGTTAGCCCTTGGTGGGAGATTTTAGGCAGTTTTTTTGGTCTGCTTTTTTACTTTTTTTTTTTTTTTGAGATGGAGTTTCGCTCTTGCTACCCAGGCTGGAGTGCAATGGCTCGATCTTGGCTCACCGCAACCTCCACCTCCTGAGTTCAAGCAATTCTCCTACCTCAGCCTCCGGAGTAGCTGGGACTACAGGCGCGCACCACCATGCCCAGCTAATTTTTGTATTTTTAGTAGAGATGGGGTTTCACCTTGTTGACCAGGATGGTCTCGATCTCTTGACCTCGTGATCCACCCGCCTTGGCCTCCCAAAGTACTGGGATTATAGGCGTGAGCCACCGCACCCGGCCTTTTTTACTTTTTTTACTTTCTTTTCCAGATTTCTCCTAAAGGGTATGTACACAGCTTTAAAATCAGGATTGTTACTAAATCCTTTTTTGGAGATGGAGTCTTGCTCTGTCACCCAGACTGGAGTGCAATGGTGCAATCTATCAGCTCACTGCAGCCTCTGCCTCCCAGGTTCTGGTGATCCTCCCATTTCAGCCTCCTAAGTAGCTGGAAGTACAGGCACATGCCACCACACCCAGCTAATTTTTGTGTTTTTTGTAGAGACAGGGTCTCCCTGTCTCCCTATGTTCCCCAGGCTGATCTCAAACTCCTGGCTCAAGTGATCCGCCCACCTCAGCTCTGCGTGTGCCCATGGCCCCAGCCATAGCCAGGCTCCTCTGGACCTTCTCTGCAATGTCCCTCCACCCCTGTAATGTCTTCCAGACCCTCCCTGCAATCCCAATATCCCCTACCCCCACAATGCTCCTGAATCCTTCCCACAGTGTCCCCTAGACCCTCCCTGCGATGTCCCTCCACCCCATGTAATGCCCTTTGGACCCTCCCCACAATCCCCGCAATGCCCCCCACCCCCTACAAGGCCCCTTGGACTGCTCCCCACAATGCTCCCA